CCGCGCGTCGAGAATGTCTCTAAGCGTTCACAGGCGTGCTTAATCCGCTCACGGTAAGCAGCCAGCTTCTTGTTGAAGTTCTCAACAAAAGCATTCCAACTTTGACAAAGTGCCTGCCACTCAGGCACTTTGCTGCGAGAAGAGGTCTTCTTGCTGGAGAAGTACCGGAGCTCGTGGAAGAGCCCGATGTAATAATCGCGCCTTTGATTCGTTAACGGATCAAAGTGCTGCTCCTCCGCCACAGCATCGTCGTGGATGCCGCTGCATACGTACAGCGAGATTTCATTTGGAGGCACAGTGTTGCCCACACGGTCTGCGATCTCTGACGCAGACGGCATCCATGGATCGCGCGCTGCTCGGGCAGCGCGCGGAGAACTTGAAGACGCCATCTCACGCGGGGAGCTTAAAGCCCCAGCAGCGGAGAGCGGAGTTTCGCTCTCGCCGCGCGAACGCTTCGAGCTCGAAGCGTCCGAGTCGTCTCCTTCACGAGGGCGTCTCGACCCGGCATGCGGGTCGAGACTATCACTGTCGATAGACTCCTTGCGCTTGTTGGGAGAGGCCTCGCCCTCTTCCATCTCTACGTCGTCACTCCCATAGTTAACGGCATCGTTGACTGCAGAGGAACCTTCGAGGACAATCTCCGACTGAGTTGTCCCCGACGCGGCCTTTGCAGCGAGCGCGTCGCGCTTTGCCTGCTGGCGCTCATGGTACTGAGCAACAGAGAGGTTGCCCTCTGTTACGGCGGCGGTCTTCTTCTGCGGCGAGCTCATTGCGGAATGAGCTCGAGTTTTCTTTCTCCCAACATGAAGAATTGACGAATGGTCAATTTCCTGGTTGACGTGCCGTGACTCGGTGCGTCTAACCTTGTGGGGGGGATGGTGTAACAGGGTTACACGCACAAGTGGCTACAGTCACTTGTAACTCTAACAGATACGACGTCTGTTAGAGGTTCGAAAGACTTTCTCGACCTTGGTGTAGACACACCAAATGCTACATACATTTACGACCACCATGACGGGTGGTCCATAGAGACTTAGGATTCCTATTGGCTGAGAACAGCATCTCTTAGCCAATGAACGACATGCATAGCATTGGAATTCTGCCAACCAGCCGTTGGCAGATTCCTATCTTAGAATCTTAGAATATTACATTTAGAGGAAGTCAGAAACATAAAACAAAATAGCAGTTTTCATTTTAACCCAAAAACATTATTTGGATCGTTTATTTAGATTAATCTATACTCGGAGACCCGAGTATAAATAACTCTAAGTTAAACTAAGCTACGCTTCCTCACATACACGCGCACACGTGTAAGCTAAAGTAGTGAGCCAAAGTAGGCCCATTACAGTTGGGGTGCAGGACATATTCAATCCGTTGTATTTTGAGTCCGATACAAAACGGACGAGGGCGAGCGGATGCGAGTTCGAGGCTCACTCAGTGCATTCACCAATCGCCAACACCCGCCGATTAGGCGGGGGCGTGTCTGCGCGAGCGAGCGAACGCGAGCGCTGCAACCCGATATTTTTTTTCAGACACCGCGCCTGGCCGAGCCGAGGACTTAGCGTAAGGCATGAGGGGGTGGGGCAGGCCGCGCAGCGGCGCTCCCCGAGCGAAGCGAGAGAGGGGCGGGCCCCCCGAAGTGCCGTCGCTAAGTCCGCAGGCGAGAGCCAACGGGCGAGTGTCCGCCCTGTGATGTATAAGTCCAGTGAAACGGCAGCTTTGATTGGCTAAGTTAGCTGGCCCAGACTTAACTTAGCCCGCGAGGGTAGGCTTCGACACAAATAAAAAGCAGTTATTGTGCTTTGCAGATAAAATGTCGACCGGTTTTATGGCCTAGATCGAGGTAGGCCGGTCCACAAATCAGGGCACAAATCAGAGGGGGTAGCATGGACGATCTCGATTTACTTCGATCGACCTCGAATTACGCTTTTGAAAACGCAAAAAGGATCGATTTACCGTAGATCGACCTCGTTCTACTCAAATCCACCAGCAGGTCGACCTCGAGCCCTGATTTGGATTGGCGTAGGTCGAGTTATTAGCCGGCCTAAATAGATCGATCTGTCCCTTTCTTTGACCTCGTTTTATTAAATCGATCTTGATTTATTATAACTCGAGGAGAGCTCCAAGTCAAAACGACAAAACGATTGCAAATCACAATATTTACTGTAAAACAGAACGGGTTAATGTAAAACGTAAATTTTATAGTGGGTATGTGGTATTTTGCAGGACACATTCCACGATTTTGCAGGACCTGTTTTATGGTGCAGGACCAATTTTCTGGCTGCATAAAATCGTCCCCGGCCGGGGATGGATGTCACGGCCCTCAAATCGTGAAAACCTCAAAGTGCTCCAGGGAAATCAATGCCTTGAATCCCCCACGAAATCGATGAATCTGGGGTTGGTCTCAATGGAAAGAGGGAGGAATACCCTAGCCTAGGCCTGGGCCTAAAGCGCACTTCTACAGGCCACGCTCTCGCTTCACAGGTACCGAAATTGCAGTTTTGGGGGATCAGGTTTCACCTTTCCTCTACCGTCTCTACGCCCGGACTCGGCTATACGAAATCATGCCAGCACACACTTAGAGACACCGGAAAACACACTTAGAGTCTACAGCTTTCCGGTGTCAGTAGAACTTTTCACCGAGTTCAGGGGTCATTTTGGGAGTGCTTACGTACACAGTTTTTTTGATGGGGGTCGAGGGGGTGAATGTGATATAGAAGAGGACCAACGGAGGCTCGCGGTTGCGAGGAGCGTAGCCGCAGCAAACCCGCGCGGTAATTGTGGAGGCGGGCCCAGCGACGAGCATTCCAGCGAGCCGAGCACTGTTCTCGCCAGGTGAGAGAATCTTTTTATCGCAGGAGCGCAGCGACTGCCTTTGCGGAGCGCAGCGGAGCAAGGCCATTTCCCGCGGACGACATCCGTCCTGCGGGAAAGTCGTCACATTGTGGGGTGATGGGCTGCCTATACAAACTCCAAGATATCACCGAAAATAGACTGTGTACGTAAGTCCTGCCGGGTCATTTTACTCCGCCGATGCATTTCTTCGATCGTTCGTTTTCGCCTCATTGGTGTCTCCGCCGGCGATGGCGCGACTGATCCATTCCACACATTCGTGTGATTGTTCTCTCCCCCGTGTTGTACGCTGAATCTAGAGCCGATGCTTGTTTACGACCGCTGCGCACTAAATTCTGTTCAAAGCCGAAGACGAACTAATTTTTATTCGATAGGGACCCCGAGTGTCAGTCTCGAGGTACACAACTTCAAGAAGCAGAAATTCCAGTAAGTTATGTGACGTAACTTACGTCGAGATCAACACGTTCAGCAGCAGCATCACTAGTCTTGAGTACAACTTCCCAGTATTTCTTGATCAACCAAGCCTAAGCATGACCATTGGCAGCAGCATCCGCCAGCACACCACAGGCAAATTGGCACAGTAGCTTCTGGGGCCACTGTGTTTCTTTCGTGGCTTCTTTGGGCATCATCAATACGGTTTCAATTATCGCCATCACGGGCAAAGCCGATATTTTATCCGGGAAACGGCAATCTCCCAGACTTTTGGGGAGATGGTGTGTTGTAGCTTCACGCCCAGTGGATACTCGGGCGTGTGGGGCCCGGAAAGCGACGAGTTCGCGCTTGTTCGTGCAGGTAGAGACGGAGTGGCGAGGCAGCATGCTACAGTACCAATCGCTCGGAAAAATGGTTTACACATGGAGGTAAAGTATGTCCACCGAAGAGCTCTTTTATTTAGCGTTAGCTTCAAGCTTGTCGTGCCATGCTTCGCGGGTTGTCGTCCCACCAATCCACTCCAACCCACTCCAACCCACTCCAACCCACTCCAACCCACTCACTCCACGCGATTGCGACTTGAATGAATCCCAGGGGATGGACATCGAAAACAGAGGGTTCCTTCCTATCTTCGCACTGAATTCGTATGTACATGTATTAGAGCCCCGTGGTCTACCTCGCCAATCGCCAAAACCAGCGATGTACACATGCGCATGCAGGGCTAAGCCCCTTTATTTTGCACGCGGCACACGCTGCACCCCAACTCCACTTGTACTTACATGAAAAGTCAGTTGCAAATGATTGGGAGCCTGCATAGACACAGTATGATCAATGCCACAGCAGTCTCGACTCGAGACTGTCGACTAACGTTCATGTGCCGGTACGGTACTGGTCGGACTGGGGCTGCGCATACATACTACAGTGCATGCATAGACTATGCAGCATAGTGAGCCGTCGTTGCTTCGTAGTTGAGGGCATTTCGTGGGATCGCCGGGGGTTGTATGGCTGAGACAGGTTGAGAATTCATGGAGTTCTTGTAACGTTACACCAAATGAGGCGCCGTAAGAAGGCAGTCTATGAATATAATATGAATTTGCACCACGCTTCAGGAGAATCTGACTTGCGACGTCATTTATACAGCACAGTTTTCACGTTACAGTTTTTTTATCTTCAAGTCAATGGCGTGTAACACGCAGGATCTTCGATTTGGATGCTTTTCGCGTGTTTCATTCCCGCTTATTGATGGTGGGAATTCCACAGCATCATCAGATTTCCCATACAAAAAAGTTGACTAAAATGCACTGTGGAGATTCGTGTACAACCGCTATCTCTGGTTCGATAATACAATTTTCCTGTAGGCATGCGTGTGCTGTACTGGGCACTGAGAGAACTACGTCAGCTCGCCCAAACGCGTACATAGAATCATTTTTTTTGTCGTTGTTTCACAGTACAAGTACAGTAGATGGGCAGGCTGTACATGTATCGAAGCCATGGATGGCCCTGTCCTGGACACGATAAGAGCATCACGCCCAGCTTTTGGATGGGATAACCTTGTTTATCCTACGATTACATACCCGGATCCAAGAACGGCTCTCGGAGAGAGCTGAGACACAGGGGAGCGTAGGATCGGGGAAGCTATGGTTGGGTGGCTCCCGTATCAACCTCACCGCAATGTGGACGCTACACTTTCGAAAACGGCAAGGACAAGAGACACAATGAAGTTTACATTGCCAAAGAACGCCTTCCCCGTCGTGGAGCTGTCCGAGGACCAGCAAAAAGCGCTCGTTGAAGAGGCTGACACCGTCGTGAAGGAGATCGTGACAGCGAATGACGCCTTCATCGCGGACGGAGGCGTCCTCCGAGATCCGCAGTGGCGTCTGATGCGCACGAAAGAGGGTATGCAGGTGTATCGCCAACGCAGAAAGGCGATCAAGCAGCGAGGGAATGAGTCGTCCGCTCCAGTGATCGAGAGTCCGTCCTGGTCATCCAGCCACACGCTGTCAAGGTACCGCACGGAGACCAGCAACCTTGTTGAGCCCTTCGACGACCGAGAGACGTCGCTGTCTTCTTCATCCGGGATCGCTGAGAACAGTATCATGGAGAAGGCAAGGCCTCCCGGTGTATCTTTGATGGCCCTCCACGGTACTACCGACGGCACACTGGACGACTGCATGTTCGGGTGTTTCGCCCCCAACGACGACGAGTGGAAGCTGCGCAGTTCCTACATCAACGATCGACTCGATGATGCTCGAATTGTGGCGTCTATTAGAGGTCCAACAGAGGAGGACCCCTACCGTTTCCTTGGTATCAAGTGGTTTGCCAAAGAACACCCAGTGATGCTCACGGGTATCGTTCAGCAGCGAGATTTCCTCATCCTCGAGTCCTCGGGGTTCACGCGCGACTGCAACGGCGAGAAGGTCGGCTACTTCCTGATGCACTCGGTGGCACTGCGAGAAATCCCCGAGCTCTCGCACTTGAACATCGTTCGCGGACTGATGAGCTTCTGCTACGTTTTTCGCCAGGGAAAACCTGGCAAGGTCGACATCTACACTCGCGGCTTCTTCGATTCCCGTGGTGAGATGCCAGGCCGCCTTTCAGTCGCGATCGCTGCGGATGCCGCTCTCTGCTGTGTGAATTTGATCCAATATGCGTACATCAAGAAGCTGACGTGGCTGATGAAGCACAGCGGCCACGGGCGATCTGGTGGTCATGCGACGCAATCTACGCACTGTGAGGCGTGCGAGAAGAGCTTCTCCAAGTTTTCGCTTACTCATTCCGGGTCGGGTACGGCGTGTTCCATTTGCCGGCGGGTAGTGTGCTCCAAGTGCAGTGTGCTGAAAAAGATGGTCATGGACGTGTCGGACACTGGGTCCGTCCAGCACTGCTCTCTCCAGTTCTGTCTGCGCTGTTTACTCAAGGCGAAGAAGCAGTGTGGCTGGGAGATTGCGCTGAGCGACTCTGAGAGTGTATCGCAATCGTCCAAGTGTTCGGGATCGGGTGTAGTGTATCGGGTTCTACCGACGGAAAACTTCAGGCGCGACGGCCGCTCGCACTCGAATGTTACGGACTACCAACGAGGCGACATGACCGCGAAGTCCAACAGCGACGACAACGTCGATGGAACGCAGTTTCAAAACAGAGTGACGCAATTCCCCTCTGCGAGCGCGGCGAGGTTTCGATCATGGACACCACGTTCGGATGATCGCTCCGGAGAATCTCAAACTACACGAGGTATAAGACCCCGTTTCCTTAATTAATAGAATACTGTAATTTACTTATAATACCTTTATCTGTAGCATTATCTGTAGCACTACATGAAATTCATTGTTCATACTGATAAAGTTTGCCGGCATTTAGAGTCGTCTATCACACGGCCATTACGAGGTCTACCGTCTCAATGAACTGTGCACACTCACTCAGACTGTGTGGCGAATACGTGATGATTCATTTTTTTTACGAAGTACTACTAACGTACTATCCGACAAGCAACGTGGTGTGCAGGCCGCAGTCTCTGGAATATTTCAAGAGAAACACTGCAACTGGCGAGTTTGTACCCTATCGACGCTGTGTGGACACAAGTTCGACATTTTGTATTCTTTCGGGTTTGGGGGCAACTAGCAGCTAAGGAGCGCAATGCCGAAACTGAGAAGACCATGGTGGCTAGTGTGAAGCGGCTTTCGCGACTGGAAGGCAGTTATCGCGCCAGTGTTTACCGTTGTAAGTACTCAACACCTTCTGCCGACACCATGTAGGAAGGATTCGACAGCAGCTCGATAAAGAACTCCAAGCACCGCGCCACCCGCCGCGAGTAATCCAGGGCTTGCATCCAAGTCTGACAACCACTAATGTCGACGTGCAGTCACTCGCACGCACGAATGTGATGACCAAAGTGCAGCGAGCACCAAGCAAAATGCAAAAATCTATGCAGACACAACGTGCACCTACAGTAGTGTCAAATTTTCATGAGACTTCAACGAGTGCCAACGACCTTCATCGATGGATTCTCGCCAGGAGCCGATTACCTAACGTCAAGACAACCTGCCCCGTGTTGAAAGGCAATCAAGCGCCCATAGTAATGTACACTGTACTGTACGAGTTTCCGGGGACCACCTGCAGTGGTTGCGTCTGGTTTCAATAACCGCACGCCACCAGCCTGCCCGAAGTCTTTTAGTAAATTTTTAATCTCGAGTGCGTGGCGATGGAAAGACGGAGGAACGCAGCGCCATGCCATCGTCTTTCGCTCCGAAGCAACAAACCAACGACTCGGAGCTTCGACCGCGCAAAATGGGAGGAGGATAGCCGTCTTCGTTCGCGTGGCACGTGCGTCAGTTCCGTCGACTGGACAACCAAACGAACCGGCAGCCAATACAAAATCCAGCAGGAAAAAGTGGCCAGTAAACCAGCAAACCATTCTCCCCCATCATGTCTGCATACAAACGCCCAGTCAGCCGATGTAATCCCCGCACATCCGAGCGCCATACAAACGCCAGTCAACTGCCCAAAGTTCCGGCACATTTTCGACCATGTGCTCCATCATGTCTCGGCTCTATCAGAACCTCTCCCTCACTGCACCACACCACCACTGCACTGTGCTCTACGCACGTACGTACGTGGACCCCAGCTCTGCTTCAGTCTCGAAAAGCTCATCAGTCCGACACACAGACAGATACCCCCGCTCTACCCACCGCTCTACCGTCATGAAGGTCTTCCAGGTTCTCCTCGTCGCTGCGTTGGCCGTGTCCGCCGTCTCGGGTGCCACGACCACGACCGCCCCCTCCACCACTGCCACTGCCGCCTCCACTTCGTCGGCTGTGGCCTCGTCCAGCGCCAGCGCCGAGACGTCCGCCGCGTCCTCCGTGGCGTCTTCTACCAGCGCCAGCGCCGCCGTGGCCGATTCTACCTCGGGCTCGTCCAACGTCACGTCGACGACGTCCGAGGAGTCCTCGGCTGAGACGGACGCGTCGGTCACCGCGGACTCGGCCTCCACCTCGGACTCGAGCTCGTCGGAGGAGTCGACCACGGCGCAGAGCAGCTCCGGCTCGGCCGAGTCCGACTCGGGCCCCACGGGCAACTCGGGCGGCGCCATCGCCCCGCGCTCGGGCTCGGCGCTGTCCAGCTCCTCGGACGCCATACCGCACGTGACGGCCACCATGGGCTCGGTCGCCGCGGTCGTCGTCGCGATCGGCGCCTACTTCCTGTAAGTTTTAGGCGCGTTAGGCAGACTCCAGTGACGTCGACGGTTCTACGGTACACTAGACTACTTTCTCCTAGTACAAGCCGGGGAGGCTGGCTGAATGTACAGAGGCCGCCGCCCCGTATCATTAACACGTATATTTCCGCTCCCGATTGAGCACACGTCGTCGTCGCTGGGTGTTTGGTGTTGGTTGAGTTTGTGTAGAATGTCCGTCCTCTGTTGCTGGGGTGCCGTAGGTTGTGTCTTGATGGGAAAGAGGTGAATTGGAGAAGGGAGAGAGGTAGGGACTGAAGTTCACTGTCGATGAGGAGGGTCATGGTGACGCTCGCTGGAATTGGGGCATCAACATCCGAACGTCTCATCTCGTATGAGGAGGCTCTGGCTTGAGTATGTGCAGAAAGATTGTGCACCAAATTCCAGCGCGAGCAGGTAGGCCAAGAAACAAGAATTGGCTCTCTATTCGGCACATTTGCAGCTTGGCGCGATTCTGACGTAACGAACGAAAAATGAAAGTTGCCAGACCGGTTGCCTTTTGCACTTGCTGTAACATTATGAAAGCTGATAGCGGGCTCAATATGCACGGCATATAGCCATCGTGGATCCAGAATGTCCGCGTTGAAATCGAATCGCAAGTAGTTTCATTAAAAAGAAGGTAAAGAATTTTAAGAAAGTATGTTGTTCAACTCGCGCGTTCTACTGCTTGCGCGTCACTCATCCGAGACTTTTTGCGCGTTACCGTATCCCTTAGCTGCGGGGAAAGCCATTGGGATGGCAATGCAGCAAGTATCGCTTCCACAACATTGGACGTACGGCCCCGTACAGCAAATATTGCACTAATTGCGTGCTCGAAGACTCGCAAGCGTGTGGCGGGATTGCACCGCAGCCAAAACAGCTCGATCATCTCCACGTAACAGGAAGGAATATCGGCCTTGCTCGATAGTGGTCTGGTTGCTGTGATCAAGCAGGAGCACCACCATTGTCAGATCATTATTTGCCGTCGCTATCTCCAATGCGTTCTTGGTCTCAAAGATCCCGCACTTGGCAGCAAGTAACTTGATCATGTCAATACACCGACTTGACACAGCCTCTTCTGCTGCCAGGCCAATGGAGGCTCCGAGATCGAGCTGGTTCTCTGAGGCAACCTCCAGCAGTAGTTTCACCACTTCTAGCTGTTGATTTGAGGCCGCAATCTTCAATACCTCGGGGGATGCATCTACCCACCAGCTCCTTCACCACACCAATGGACCCTTTCTCCGAGGCACCGATAAAAGTCGCTTGGATCACTAGCAAGAACCAATCTTCTCGGCTTCTAGCCATTATCGTAGGGTGTTCCAGGATCACTTTAACCATGTCGGATCGGTTCGTTTGCAGCAGGTAAACTGCGATTTCATGCACACGAAAGCTGCACCGGTCCAATAAAAATTGCATCGTTCCACCGGAACATTGTTCGACCACAGTCAACATTGTAACGGAGTGGTGGTAGCCGCCTTTGAGAAGCATCTCCACCACATCCAAGTGTCCAAATTCTGCAGCTTTCTCGATCCCGGAGGCGATATGACTCGTTCTGTCCTTGAAGCCTCTGTCAAGCAGCAGCTGCACAACATTTGTGTGGCCATTCTCAGCAGGGGCGAGGAGTTATGGCAGTAGGTCGACGAAAGCAAGTCCACCACAGCAACATGGCCATGAGCAGCAGCAGCTTCAAGAGCTCGGTCAAGTGCTGCGACTTGGAGGTTGTTGGACTCTAGGAATTGAACCACCTCCGCACAGCCGCCCTTCGCGGCAGCTACGATTTCCTCTTCAAGATTGCACTTCTCTGGATAATGTTTGTGAAGCCATTCCAATACGTCCAAGTGGCCATTAGCCGCAGCGCCGACACCCGTCTTACTGGAACAACCTTCTGTCCTCGTGTTATTTAACGTTCTGACGATATCGAGTCGCCCCCGAGTAGCAGCTCCATCCATTGCCCCCACCGTTATGGGGCGTGACGCTCCATGAACTCGATGCACCCGTGAAAGCTCATTGTACACGGCGCCATCGATGGTTGTCGGCTTCAGCAGGTCGTTTATTTGCTCCAGAACATGGGGAAGCGCCTGCAAGTCCAGAGGAAGAGCCCTCGACGCATATAGTAATGATGTGGCCTCAGGCATTCTCCCTTAGAAAGTAAAAGTGAAGACTTACCCTTTCTGAAAAAATAACCGAGAAAGTTCGACTGGAAGAGTGTTACTTTGGTAATCTATCACAAAGCTACTAGCTTCAACACGGGACTTCGAGCACCGACTAAGAGCTTTGTTCGAGCCCAATGCTTGACATGAAGAGAACGATCGTTCCCACGGCCAATGTCGTGCCTACGATGCCTTTGAGGGCGTCAACAAGGGTAGGATGCCTCTTTAAAGAACGCTTTGGTAGCCGCTGGACTCTTTCGGAGAAATTCTTTAAACTTCGAGGGACTTCCAGCCGCTCCTCTCTCTTCGGCGTTACCATGGGCTTCTTGGACTCGCACCAACTCTGAAATGGCGTGAACGGCTTCTTCTTTTTCGGTCTTTGGTTTTGGGCCCATTTTTTTCTGCGCCCCTGATGAAACGAGTGACACGATTTCCTCCTTGGTTTGCGTCGTTTTCAGCACTGATTGCATCACTGGCAACTGTGAAGTGGTCGGAGCATGCAACAAGTACGACCACCGCAAACAGGGCACACGTCAAACGCATTGTCGACTAACAGTGCTCTTGAGTCCAGTAAATTGAGGCCTTGTTCGGAGTGTCGGAAGCAAAATGCGAAGTGCTGAACGGTTCGAAAGGGTTCCGTACTGGAGACCTCGAATGCAGCGATAGGGGCAGGGTCGAGACGAGATTTGACTCAAATCCCGAACAAAGTCTTGCCAATAATGGAATCTTGAGCGTTGCCATGATAGCAGACCAGTACTTCATCAGTAGTGTCCAATATGTACATGTCATAAAATGCAATCGCTCTATTCGTCGAACGCCTACAAAATTCAAGCGTACTTGTACAGCAGGTTGCAGTTGCAAACAATTGCATTCGAAAACCTGAAGCCTCAGTTAATGTGGCTTTACGTTTTCATCAGCGTAGTTGTTGTGACATTACCCTGGTCAGAAGGATCCCATCGAGAGCTTTTGACACGCCAACGACGTGTAGTATACAGTAGTTCGCCACGTGAGAACTGGGAATGGTATCATGGTAAGTTGCTGACGAGCGCGGATGTATCCATGCGCGATGGGATGAAGATCAAGGCATAACCACCACAAACCAACCAACACAACAGTTTTGGCTGGCTTCACGGACTGGCTCAAATCACGTAAATAAACGTGATCGGCACATCGGTAGCGTGTTATTAACGTCTAACGGTCCCCCTTTGACTGATAAGCACATGCTGAAGTGCGTTTCGCAGTGATTGCCTTTGAAGTTCGTAAAGTCTTGGCCAGGTTGTGCCTTTTGTAGGTACCATTTCGTGCGTGCGAATTAAAAATGCGTGTGCGCGTATACACAATGCACTTTAAGTAGCAGATGCAACGTGTTCGATCATATCAGCATCACTAGTTTCATCATCGCGCACCTTCTCGATCCTCCGCTTCAACCACAAGTCCCTCAGTTGGCCAGGTGCGATGACCAGAAAGACTCGCGCCATCACGGGGTCCGCCATGATGTCGAAGGCGTCCACCATGTCCTCCGCGTCCAGCTGCTCTGCATAGCAACTCTGCAGCTCTTGGACCGCTCGTTGCGAGGGCGTGAGCTGCTCCTTCTGCTTCTTCTGCTCCTCTCTGCCCCCCACCGTCTCAACCTCCTCCTCCAGAGACCCTAAAAGCTGCTCCACCGTGCTCTCGGCCAGCACTAAACTGGTACCAGGGCCCGACACCTCCGCGTGGCGATCTCGGAAGCGCTGGAACCACTGGATGCCGCACTCTGCGGCCTCGGGCTCCTTCATCTCGTTGGCCTTGTTTAAAACATCTCGCCGCCGGACCTTCACGCCTGCGCGCTGCATCCTCGCCATGACCAGCAGGATCTCCTCGTCCACCTCCGCCAATGGGGGTGCAGCCTGACGTGTTGCACTTGCACTTGCACTTGCACTTGCACTTGCAGCAACTGAAGCTGCGTCTGAGGGTGAGCCCTCCCCAGCGGGGGCCAAAAGTGCCGCCATTTGCACCTGCTGCCTCCTCTTGGCGGCCGGCTCGTAACCGGTTTTCTTCCAGTGCACGCGGTTCATCAGCGTCGTGTACGGGATATCCGTGTCTCTGCTCACGGCGGTGGCCGTCTCCCCCGCCAGCACGCGAGCCACGCACTGGGCCAGCAGCTCCTCGTCGTGGCGCTTCCTCTTGGGGGCCATCGCTGCTGCGTTCCTGTCGGCTGACTGGTCGGTTACTTTCGTGAAGGGATTTGTGAATATGGGGAGTTGAGTATGTACGTAATTTGTACACGAATTATGCAACGTAGAGAGTCGGTATTGGAATGGAGAGGGTCAGATAAATACTCTTGAACCAGTTGGCAGTCAGGAGTTCTGCCCTGCGACCACCTTGACTAACTCAGCTCCTCGGTTGACATACTAACAAACCCGTTACTGTGAGGTACCGACCTTTTGACAAGAACAGAAAATCCTGTACGCTGTTGATATTATTTTCCCTTGAAGGCGTGTATTGTCACTTAGTTGCTTTTTAGCTTACTATAGATAGATATTTGTTCTACAAAAAATAAATGCTTGACCAACTTTTGTTAGCTCGGATGCCCGACATGGGCCCGTACAGTACTACCTGTCTAATGTTCAATAGCTTTTATTACTGTAACACTGAATGGCTCGAAAATGTGTCTGCGAGTGTGATAAATGCGTCGTGATAAAACCTCAACAAGTGAGTTGCGCCATATACAGAGATCAGCTCCTATTATACCTATCTAATCCTGCCTAACGAAAAAATGGCGCAAATGACAATACCGAATCATCGCGCTATTCCGCCTGGTGCCCCCATCTTCTAATCGGTCTTGAGTTCGTGTGTTGACGAACATGGTGGATACGTAGTGCGATCGCTGTGAATGCTATGGATTTTCAAAGATCGAACTGTCTTTCAGAGCCTATCCCAACCAAATGCCCCAATGTTTGCTTGGGTAAATTCACTGTCTTGAATACCCTGGACAATAATTTCCCTTTCAGCTTCTCCCCCCCTTTCAGTGCTTGAAGTGAACAAGCACCACATGAAAGCGTTTTTAAGTGTTCACAAAGTGATCACAACGAAACACTGTAGCAGTCTAACCATGCTCAAGAAATTATCAAACCTAACTGATTCACTAGTTTCAGTGATACCAATTTCGTTTAATTTATAGACAACACTGTAGTAGTCACTACAGCAGCTTTCACATTGAAGATTACTTCGACTCATGCTTTCGAGGAATTGAGATAATGCATGAATTTACTGTAAGCTTACGGCCCATCTCGCACCAAGCCAGTTCCTAATTTCTACTCTTGCTTAATCAAAGAATCGTTAGTGGACTAGCTTCGTAATGCGCAAGTGACAATGCATGCACCTTGTCTTCTCTCTACATGTTCCCGGTGCCCCATCTTTAAAACGGTCTTGAGTTTGTTCTCGCGCTATGTTGACGAACATGATGGATACGTCCATCGAACTGATTCGGTGCAAGGAAAGCTATTAGCTGAGCTCACTTTTCCATTTCTTCTCTCCTCGACACCTTCGACACCCACAAGCTCCCAGTTTCCAGTACCCACCATGCGTCTGCTACTGTGGGTGCTTCTTGCAACTTTGGTGATGCTACTATCCAGCACCGACGCAGCCTCGGCCAAGCTTTCAAGCTCCGCTTCGGCGAAGATCGACTCGGATATCCCAGTTCGTGGCCTGGTTGCTGAGTACAACCACGTCGGCAAAAGAAAATTGCGGGGCAATGAGCTTGTGGCGGAAGATGATGACGATGAAGAAGAGCGAGGATTACCCGTGTCAAGCCTGCTGAACCGCTGGAAGTCTTCTCTGCAGGAGATCCAGCGCACTACATCGTACAAAATCAAGAAATACCTCGTGGAGAAGTTCTTCCGTTGGATTTACAGACAAGGAGTGAATCCTGTGACCTTGCGAGCCAGGATGATGGGGAAAGACAACAAGGTCATCGGGCTGTATAAGGCCTGGTACGATAAATTCGTCGCCGCAAACGCCGTTAAGCCTTAAAGTGGACAACATTGAAGGAGTGTAGCAGAAGAAAACAAAGTTGTTGTTGCTTTTTTCAGTTCATTTGCCTCCTACGTAAGCGTGTGAGTTGCTTGCTTTCACTTCAAGATATACATAGCCCTTCAGAAATTAGGAAATTAATCAAATCCTTTTGTATCTTTGTATCTTTGTATCTTTTGTTGTCGAGCACTCGGCGAATTTGTCGTATCTTTCCTTTTCATTCCCTCATGGGTTTAGCACGAAAAAGCTCTGAAATATTGAGGGTTCTGTGTTAACGCTGGAGAAGTTTACGTTGAAGATTTTATTATGGGATAGCAGTCCACATCCGATTATTTGAAGCCGATCAGATGAAGCCTCCCGTTGAAGTTAACACTTCAACAATAATGGATGCCTTAGACTCAGATATAAGATACTTGAATGTATTGAAGTTCTCAAGGTCAGAACCTCTCAAACTCAAAGAACCACCCAACACCGCCGTTCATTCCTGATTTTGCCGATTCCGCGACCTGCAGAAAAAAAATGGAGGCGGTGACCTATCGAGCGCATTCTAGATGTGCTGAGTCGATGGGTGCCCCAGTCTTCTCGTTGCTAGAGCGAGGACAAGGTGCCGGTCGCTAAAAAGTTATTTTGACCCCGAGAATTTAGTTAACTTTTTTTAATTATTGTCGATTTTACAGATTGGTTCCGGCGTCAAGACACAGCTACAGGCATTACTCTCCTCGGCTAACAGCCTGGCACGCTGTAAGAAGTGCTGCCGTAGTTGGAGGTCTTCAACGTTTCATATCACTTCACTGTTCATCGGTGAGTGATGAGACCTATCGATAGATTTTTGTTAAATCGTGGAACTAACTCTTTTTTGGTTTCGTGATCTATTGGCTTTGACGCTGCAGGCAATTGCTTAGCCACAGTCGCCCCAAACCCCTCGGAGCTTCATTGGCGCACAGCAGAATCCTTTTTTCTTCACGCTGCCGGTGCTCGGTTGCCTTAGCTGCTGCTTTCGAGCAAAGCGAGCGCAACAGGAGCTCAGGGACATCACCAGGCTCGGGATAGTGGGACGTCACTCAACCGGGACATTGCTGATGAGGACGCCGATGTGGACATGCTGCTGGATCAGACGCTGTACGAACTCATTCGTTGGCTAGTGGCTTGAGCACCGCAGATGGAGCACCTGCAGCACGACAAGGCAAAGCACAGAGCCCTTGATGAGCGGCAGCGGTATCCGATAATTTGAACGATACAATGCTTTGGACTCAGAAGTGTAGATACTTTAGACGAAGAAGTTTCCGGGTCAAGGTGCGAGACTGCTGTTCTTCTGCGGGCGATGGCCGCAGAAGAAGCAGTCCTTGCGTAAATCAAGAACTGCGGCAACTTTAGTGAGTGCATTCATCGAGGTCACAAGAGCATCGTAACGACGTCGAGATTAGTTTGATCATTTCGACAGAACAAGTTCAGCGCGTACTGTGCTATTTCGGAGTCGGAGCCGTTAAGTAATTAGTTAGTGGTGTTGGGCAGCGCAGGAAGAAACCAGCACTACGTTACGTGCTTTGCTAAGAAGGATACTGATTATCTGCCCATTTGCTCTTGTCAACAACAGACTTCCATTGTAATTGTTTCTCGCTCGACCATTGTGCGATCATACTTACTGTAAAGTCTAAAATGTGGCTTGCTAAGCATTTTATTCAATCCACGGCTTGATATTATTTGTGAGCGAACTACCAAGCTACCCCAGCCTACGCAAAGCTCTAGTACACTCCCATGATCCGTGAAAAAAAGCGGACAACAGATAAAGTGGGGTTGAGATCGTCGCATTACATAGTGCGTTTTTACTCAAATTTGGACTTGTTGATTGATTCATTTCGAGAAGCAAACTAGGCCTTTATTTGTTGTGCGTTGACGACTTCAAGGCGTAAAGTAGCTCAGCAATCTGAATACGGCAACCTGAAGCAGCTATTTTAGCTGCAAATGCCATGGATTTCTTAAGATCGAGTTGGTTTTCCGAGCTAACCACAAGCAGCAAAGCATCGTTTGTGACCTCTTTTGCCGCCGCTAAACTTCCGCTTCAGGGTTGCATAAAGCCGGAAAGTTAGACTGTGGAGCCGAACTAATTCAACACAGCCACAAATCCATTGGGCGCAGCACCAATGAGCGCTTCGCAGGCCTTCGGCTCGGGCGACGCGGAGAAGTGCGACAGCGCCACGCCGACGAAGCAGTAGATGATAGCCTGCACTTGACGATATTGAGTCGTCCATTAGTAGTGACACAAAATGCTTGCGGGAAAACTGATGGAAGGATACACAATACAACATTCCTCAGCACAAGTTCCTGGCTTGATAGGCGGTACTTCCTTTCACATGAAAAGAAAAAAAAAGAGATAGGATGTAGATCTTTGTTCCTATTAATAAAAAGAACGACAAAATTTGCTTAGCTCGTTCGCGGCTCGTATCTGTCCAATGTTCGATAAATTACTGAATGGTGACTGCGAGTGCGATACGTGCATCGTAGCAAAAATTGTTTATACTTCGAAATATCATCTCCATACTACAGATACGGGAGGTCACTTTCCCGCAAAACCTGCCTTGGCTGCAGTTTTGAAGCGGGAGTACCACCGCCTGCGTCCATTTATGGTGTTGTTATGTGTATCACCAAGTTGTGTAGCATGCTTTATGACGCAGCTTCTTCGGCTGTGAATGCTATGGATCTTCGAAGATCGAACTGTCTTTCAGAGCCAATCCCAAGCAGTGGCTCCAGTGCTTACTTGGGTAAGTTCACAGTGAACGTCACTGTCTCCAACGCCTTGGATAATACATTTCCCTTTCGGTTTCTTTCCCACTTCAATGCTCGAAAATACCACATGACGATTTGACACGGTTCACAAACTGATCTGAAGCCGACAAGAACGAGTTTATCAAGCCTAACATGGTCGCTTGGGAATTTAATAAGCTAACGTAGCCTCCACATTGAGCACGACTTCGATTCTATATTCGTGTTTCGAGAATCTGAGGTAATATATGAAGCTTAGTTTTTTAGTTTTTGGTGAGGTACATTGCAGTCATTTAGAAAACCTAACGACTAAGCCAGACGGCATGTAGTCACTACATTGTAGTGTCCATCTTCATGGCAGGATTCGATTTTTCATATGATGACACATGCACGAGAAATTAGCTACACTAGTTTCCCCCATCCTTAAATCGGTCTTGAGTTCGTCCTCGCGCTATGGTGACGAACATGATGCGCATATGTCCATCGAACCAATTCGACGCGAAGGAAAATTATCTGTTGAGCTCACTTCTCAATTTCTTCTCTTGTGTGTTCAGAGGTCCTCTATTTACGTTTGTTTAAACTATAGAGTCCTGATATCGCTGTAGACTGGGTAACCTCCAGTTGGGGTCATATACGGTACAGATCTGAGATTGGATCTGACGTGCTAAAAGGTGTTCTGGGGGTTGCACCCCCAGACCCCCGCAAAAAGAAAACTAACTCCGAGTTGCGGCAACGGGTCCGTTCGCTGGAATGCTCGTCGCTGGGCCCGCCTCCGCAAATACCGCGCGGCCCGCACCCCGCGCGGGTTTGCTATGGCTACGCTCCTCGCAACCGCTCACTGCCGTAACATATGTTTTGCAATACAAAAATTAGTATTAAAAACCGATCCATTCTCTGATCTGTACCCTATATGATCCCAACCGGGTTTTACCGTAGACTGGGTAGACTGAGCCTAATTGACAAACGGTGGTGCGGCGAAAATTGTTCTTGCAGGTAGTCCCATAGCTTGACAGGCAGGTGCTCTCGAAGTAGTACAGCATTGGTAAACTGAGATAGTTGTCGCAATTTGAGAAATCCCCTGATCGCTTTGTAGATGCGTTTGGAAGCTGGTTTCCATGCTATCGAGACAACGTCTTTGAGCGCTTGGTGCGTGGCATTCTGGGCTCGAGCCGACTTGATCATTGGTTGGGTGCCTTGGACACAAAGAGAGACTGTAGATAGTTGAGCTCGCTGCTTTAGCTGATTCATGGCTCGGACGATGATGTAACAGGGTTACACGCACAAGTGGCTACAGTCACTTGTAACTCTAACAGATACGACGTCTGTTAGAGGTTCGAAAGACTTTCTCGACATTGGTGTAGACACACCAATAGGCTACATACATTTACGACCACCACGACGGGTGGTCCATAGAGACTTAAGATTCCTATTGGCTAAGAGCAGCATCTCTTAGCCAATGAGCGACATGCATAGCATTGGAATTCTGCCAACCAGCCGTTGGCAGATTCCTATCTTAGAATCTTAGAATATTACATTTAGAGGAAGTCAGAAACATAAAACAAAAATAGCAGCTCTCATTTTAACCCAAAAAACATTATTTGGATCGTTTATTTAGATTAATCTATACTCGGAGGCCCGAGTATAATTAACTCTAAGTTAAACTAAGCTACGCTTCCTCACATACACGCGCACACGTGTAAGCTAAAGTAGTGAGCCAAAGTAGGCCCATTACACCTGGTAGCACTTTGTAGTCCGTCCAACGACCGACTACCTGAGTTCGTTCGTCACCGCACGAACGCGGAGCTGAGAACCTTCCCATGGATACGGAGGTGTCCATGGAAAGCTCCACTACGCCTGCAACTCACGTTGCACGCGCTGACTGTCCCCACCTGTCGGACCCAGAGTGGGAAGCTCTCCAACGACTGTCAACAGTCATTGGTGAGGCGGCTGTAGCTACGATGCTGCGTACGCTATCGCCGACAGAGCAACATGGTGTTGCTCAGGGATTCGTCATGAGGGAGCAGCGAGATGCTGCTTCGTCTACCACGGTGTCGTCGGGGACGACACCGCGCGCGCAATCGCTGAAGCTCAGCGTGAGCAATTACGTTGGAAGAGAGGGTGAACCTCTCCTCCGTTGGCTTGTCGAACGCGACACAGCCATTGCGGCTAGACGTATCGCCGACCCGTTGTCGTAGGTTGCGTTCGCCATGTCATGTCTTGGCGGACGTGCAAGAATTTGG